GGTGCAGACGGCCAGCATCGCGGGCGCGCCGATCTTGGGCCCGGGAGGGCTCTGACCAGGCGCTCTCAGCGTCCGCCCGCTCATCCGCTCATCCCCCACCCCCACCCTTCCACACAGCCTTGAGGGGCACTGGAGGCGCACAGCATCTTGGCGTTTCGGAAGCTCGGAGTAGCTCGACCCAGCTAGTAGGAGGGGAAGTGTATTGCGGAGGGCTCCCTGACCCACACGAGGGACCAGGCCCAGGCTCTGTGTGGTTGTGCGCGTTGGCTTCTTCCGAAGGGCACAGAGCGTCCTAAGCTTGCAATATCGAGGTTTCGCCTTCAAAAAGGGGGGGCATATACTTCAAGGCGGACATTGAAACGTCAATTTTGGAGGTTTGGGACACTTTGGGATACCTCCAGCGGATCGCCCTATGACGCCAGCCGCCGCTTGGGCCGCGGAGGCTCCACCAGCGGCGCCGTAGGAGGACGACGCGGGCTACAGGGTCGTGGCCTGCTGGATGACCAGGTGCAGCTGACCGCCCGGGACAAACACGGACCTCGTGGTTGGTTCCGTGAATTTGCCTGGGCCCCGAGGGATGAGAACCGTCTCCCATACGCACTGAGCGGCCATGAATTCATGGCATGCCCACGCGGCCCGCCATGTGGTGGCCTGCAGCGGGCGCGCGCGAGCGAGCGAGCGAGAGTTCTTTGTACCAGACGGCGCGTGAGCAGGGGAAACAAAGTCAGGCTGTCGCAAGTTGACTGCCGCGCGCGCGTGCCGCACTTTGTGAGGTTGCGGGCGCACTCCTCTTCCTCACCTGGCTGAGAGTCTGCGAGGCCTCCCAGATGGGCCTGCTGCAGCCCAAGCGGGCGCACAGATGCTCCCCAGGCGGCGTAAAAAGACCTCGGTGGCTGCCAGAACAGCCCTAGACATGCAAGTCGATCCAAGAGGCGTCTAGGAGCGAATGAGAGGCCATGAGATAGGCCCCGAGCAGTCAAACGCGCTGACAAACCACTCGTTATTCCATGCACTCTGTGTCCGAAGCTTTTCGCCGCAAGATGGCCTCAACAGCGGCCCTATGGTGATCCATTGATTGCTTATGACGCTCCCATAACACCTCCGAGGAACCTCCGAGGCTCCAATACCGCCCCAGAGAGTCTCCAGAGAAGGAACCCAAGAGGGCACAGGAGTTCGCCAAGAACCCAGTCGACCCCCAACGGGCGCCAAGATCGCTTATAGGAATGCCCCCAAAGCACTACAAGGCGATTCTCGCTCACCAGCACCGGCACGGGCGGCACCGGCACCGCGCCGGCGCCGGCACTGGCACCGGCACCGGCACTGGCACTGGCACCGGCCCTGGCGCCGGCACCGGCACCGGCACCGGCACTGGCACCGGCGCCGGCACCAGCACCGGCACCGGCACCAGCGGCACCGGCACTGGCACTGGTGGCGGCGCCGGTGGCGGCACCTGGCACCGGCACCGGCGCCGGCGCCGTCACCGGCACCGGCACCGGCACCAGCACCAGCGCCGGCACCAGCACCCGTATTTGCGCCTCCCTCTCACCTCCTCCTTCCCTATACCTTTGTGGTCACTCAGATTGTGGTGGTCTGGTGGTCAGATGGTCAGGTGGTCGGGTGGTCGGGTGGTCAGGGGGTCAGGTGGTCAGTCGGTCAGGAGGTCAGGCGGTCAGGTGGTCAGGCGGTCAGGCGGTCAGGCGGTCAGAGGCGGTCAGGCGCTCAGGTGGTCAGGTGGTCGGGTGGCCGGGTGGTCCAGCGGCAAGCACGCATCCTTCAATCCAAGTGCAGGCCAGCCTCCTCAATTTCTTGTATAAATATATGTACATTATAATTATTCACTTATGCATATTTCGCTCACTGTCCATCCACACAAGCATATACACATCACAAGGGAGGAAGACATTGACAATGTGGTTCGAAGAGTTCGAAGCACTGTTTGGATAGCTATATACCGCCACCCGAGGAAGGGAATGGTGGGCGAAAGACCAGGACAACCCCCTCGGGAGCCTCCTGGGCCCCTGACTGGCCGCTCAGGACAGCCCCTGAGGGCCCCCAGACGGCGGCCAGGAGCCTGGAGAGGGCACGAGTGAGAGGCAACCCCCTCAGAGGGCCCAAGGAAAGCTCGAAGCCCTCTGGAATTCATGTTGGCATCAAAAGCCTTCCCATGATGCCCCCCCAAGTCCAAATCAGTTAAAACCATACGATTGTTTTAATGGTTGAAAGTATGAACCAGAAGAGTCGGCGCCGATTCGGGCGTCCCCCCCCAGAGCATGACAAATCAACTCTTGCAGCGGCCCTCTTGGGAAGGCCTTGGGACGCTCTCGGGCCTTCTTGAACTCCTTCTCGACTCCTCTAGAGGCTATCATGGGCGATCTTGTGGCCTTATTAAGGCCTCAGAGGCCCATCGGAAGCGAAAAGGCGAGAAGCAAGCCAAATATGGAAAGTATGAAGTTTTAAAGGGTTTTGGATTCTTGGGGGTCTCCTTTGGGCGCTCCGTGGCCACTTGGAGCCGTCTCGGCGTCTTCCTGAGGCCTCTTGGAGGCTTATTGGGAGTTCATATTGAGCCATATTGTGCTAGCTTGAGCCATCTTGGAGGCCATTTTGAGCTATCCGAGGCCCTCTAACGCCTTGCGCCCCCCCCCGTCCAGACCCAGTGGGATGGGAGGGGGGAGGGATAAGCCAGGCAAGCCCCTTCACAAAAGGAAAGTTGGTGGTTGGAATAACGAGCTCGCTAAACCACAATTACGCAGAGACGGCGAGTGGGATTTGGTGGCCAGGACTGGCCACTGTGCTTCACACAAACGAGAGCGCTTCGCCAGGTGGTATTCGAGAAAGGTGAGCGGGATCCAACTGCGTGCGTGCGTGTGCTTGTGGCCTTGCCGCCTTTGCATCCTTGCTTTTGCCACTCTTTGCCCCTGCTCGGGCGGGAAGAGCTGTGCGCATGCATGCGACCCTGGCCAGTGCCCCATCCTGGGCCCCTGATGGGTGTGTGTGTACATGCCTCCCTGGCCAAGCCACGAAGGCGCATGCCTGGATCAGGATGGGCCCGGCCAGAATCGGTGCATGTGCATAGCTCTCTTTCCTCTG